GCAGGAACTCGAGGTATAAATTGGAATATTCGGGGATTATGTGTGGGTCAACGGCATGTCTGCACGTGTCACCAGTTATCCTCGTCTATTATTATAACAAGCTCCAGATCTGATGCTCTACATCATGTCAAAATACGAAATACAGTCGGAATAAAATTTTTCCAGAGAATATTCGATTATAGGGGAAATAATAGAGGTATCATGACAGTATCGCACGTAATCCTCTAGTTTTGTATTCCGTTTGATATGGAGGGATCCTCGTAGCCATTAGGTAGTGGGATAGCGGAGGAAAATTCAATCCATTGATAAACCAAAAGGTTAAGCTTTATCTCGCAAAGAATTGATGTTTGATCGCTCTCTTCTAATTATCTAACTCCCCGAGATTTTACGAGATGAAAAGTGGTGTTTTACTGTTAGTTCAGAAGAATACCTCAGTGAAAGGGGTTTTTAGGTGACACACACATATACTCAAAGAAATGCTTAAAGCTCGTGTTACCAACGTGTCCGTTCCTTTGTGCGTTCTCGCTCGGTTGCATCCCCATTTCATGTACCTCTCCCCGTCGTTTTTACCACCCACAGGCACACTCTCGGACCCACCCTATCCCTTCATTCTTTCTGCATTTCTCTCCGTTATCTCTCTCTGCAATTTTATCTATCTCTCTCACATCTTTCTTTTCGAACCGTTTTAATGCGAAAGACGCAACTGGTGCCACTTCTATTTTATATACATGCACACGTACATGTATACGTGTACAACTCGAGGCTCATGCATATGCACATGTATTTTTCAATCGTGCTCTCATACCGTGGGTACGCGTTTTTAAAAAAGATATGTTTAAATTGCCAGAAAATCACTCTTAATTCGATCTAGTCTAGTCTCTCGGGAAAAAAGTTTATGGAAATTGTCTAGTTGAAATTTCATTTAAAAAAACGGAAATGGTTTTTCTTTGCGAATGCTTGATACTGATTTATTTAACGGAGTGGAGAAGCGTGTTTTATTTTATGAATGAAATTGCATGTCAACGAGATTTCCAATGAAAGAGATTATATTTGAATGAGGAATAATATTCAGAGTATTGAAATGAAATAACTCGATTCGTCTATTCCCGGGCAATAGGAGTGAATTACCGAGTCTTTGTAAAGCAAGTACCTCCCACGTTTTGGATTGCTCAGTGGTATTGATTCCCCTATCATTCCGTTTAGTATGAAAATCTTATAGATACCCCGGGAGGAGATGCGCGCGAGCGCGGAGCATCCGTGAGTCACGGCGATTCTAAAAATCGCTCTAGCGTGAAGAGGGGGCTATAGTCATATCCTGAAAGAGGAGTTTCAACGGGGATTGCATTACCCATTGTACGATTTACGATCAAAGGGAATTTCTCAGGGTTTTTCGGAAAAAAAAATGTATTTAATTTGTTGGAAAAATTTCACCTCCGTGTGGGTTAAATCGATGAGATCTCTATGTATTATGTTTTTTTTTTCAAATTCTTGTTTACACATGGAGAATGGAATAATTGGAGAAAACTCTTGGGGATTCACTCAACTCAATTACACCTTAAAACTTCACAGACCGAGTAACTCAATCAAGTTGATTGAAGTATCCGAGACTTGTCGAAGTAGGTGTAAAAAAGCAAACTATAAAACATCCACTCAATTAACGATTTCACCGTAAACATGCTCAATTTAATGGCACACGTGTAATACTGCACTGAGAGAACTAACTCACGAGTAGGTAAACTCAAATTGGGGTAAAGCGACTTGGATTAGCGTTAATGCAATTTAAAATGTTTGAGAATTCAATCTAGCGGGGACTACTGAGCGGATTTAGGCAGTTTGTTATTCTCATTCTGGGATACCAACTATTTCGATACAGCAGCTATTTAACCATTACCTGATCATTAAAGCATACCGAAACTGGTGTGGAAAATTCCCATATTGTGATTTTAATTTCAAATTGACTTTTTCATTACGGCCAATTCAATTTTCATTGAATATTCACGAGGTTGAACATCAGTACTTTCATTGAAGCCCCATTTGACCGTAGGTCATCGAAAATTTTCCAATTACAATATTCTTCCAACTTTCACCGTTCAAAATTTCTACTCCCAATATCAAAGGATTCACAAGCATTTGAAGGATCTATTTTTTTTCCCCGTCCAATTCCCTTTTTCAAAGTGGCAATACATTTTTCCATTCCGAAAATTTAATTGGAATTCATCAGCTGTCACCCTGAATATTCCCACAGCCCTCATGTCTTATTGACCGATTAAAGGTTGGCCACCTACGCCCATACCCGTCCCACGTATACTCGATTCTCCATGGTTAATACCAAGTACCCAACAGTCACCTCCAAGACAATGCAAACGTCTTTCATCATTCATTTCAACTCCAAGCCCCCAACGGATACTCGTACCCGTCCAGCCGAGATCGTCAATTCGATTCGAATTATGTACGGACGAGTCTCAGGCAGTACAAGTGGGTTCACTAAGGCAAAAAAAAAATTAAAAAATAAGGGGAAAAAAAATGAATTGAGGAAGAGGAGAGAAATAAAAGAGATATGTCGGCAAAATTGTAGACCTCCCATCAGTGAATCTGCAGAAAAGCGTCTTGGCCTCGCCTCTGCCCTCTTCCTCCTCTTCCTCCTCCCTCCCACTGACTGGGGCTGCTTTGTATGCCAGTCTCAAGTACGCACTCGCGCGGAGTCAATCTTTCTCGAGATCTCTCTTTCTCTCTCTGTACGGATTTTCATCTTGAGAGGAGTTGCATATTCAAGACTTACGATGAGTAAGTATGGCAAAGACCCTCGTAACCAGCGCCTTCATCTATCTCCAGTATATTAATATTTGGCTGGCGATAAAGAAAAAAAATTGATCCTTGAAAAGTTCAAAGTGGATATTCTGCTTGGAATGAACGATATTCACCCCCTTGATGATGTTTCCAATTGAGAACAGAAGGTGAATATAATTTGGGGGAATTGTTTTTTTATTTTATGGTAATGTGGAGTATTTTCGCGTCGTTGACGACACAAATAGATGGAAATTTTCCATGAGGCGGTTGTTAGACGAGCAAGCATGGTCAACGAGGCATAACGCACTTCACAGTGAAGTATGAGAATGTGATGTTTAATCGGTTTGATGAGGGCAGGCTTCTTTGAATATAAGAATTGTAAATACCGAAGGTTGAGTGAGTTCGTTGATTGAGTTCAATGCAGTCGCATTCGGATTGTATAAATATTTAGTCTCATCATGTAAAAAATAATCGGCTCAATTTATCCGATCTAGCTAGATGTTCTTTTCCTCTTCCTGCAATAACACACGAATAAAGATGGCAAATTTTTCCATCGTCGGGTATAAGTTCGCACGTGCTTTTTACGGTCTTATATCCAGCCTTGAAGCAGCTGGTGCGACATACTTGCTACAACACGAATGGTCTCCCCGTATAAGTTGAAGTGATTCCCTCGGAATTGACTGCGCGTAGGATGAAAGATTGATCGCTGACTAACTTTGAGAAATAAAAGAGCCAAAGGGGAATGCTTTAAAAAATACCAAGAGATGACAGGCAAAAGCGGGACGTTGAGATACTTGCCGGGTAAATCGATAGACTGCCGAGAGAAAGAGGCACAAGTTAAAAAAAAAATGAAGAAGTTTTATCGACATATATATAGGAACCACTGAAAACTTTGCCATTTAAAGTGCGCAGAGCTCGAGCTCCACATGCCACGATATATCCTCGACATTTCACTGCAATACATATACGGTATATATAGATATTTATATGTTGGGAGAGTTTAGCGCGTCCCCGCTGTCGAACTCGAATTGCGGAATTCCCGCCCAGGCAGGATGTCGAGATCGCGACCGGTCGTAACAGCGATAGCGAGTCGTGCATACTCAGGGACAATCGCTCCATTTAAACGAGGATAATCTCGATAAACAAATTGAAGGAATTATTACAAGCCAATTGCCATTCTTTCCAATTTCGATGCCTTAAAAACCGGTGTAATAGGGTGCAATGAGGTAGAATTATTTCGAGAATGAGCGATTTTTGAGAGAAGAAAATGTGAAAGGAACTTTTATTGAATAATCCGCTACAAATGAGTGGCTGTAATTTTTTTTTTATCTTGCAACCACTCGCTCCGGGGATAATTCCTTTAACGTGATGATATATTTTTTGGGATATTTCAATGATATAGTGGAGAATGGGCCTTGCATTTGAAGCCATGAATTTCTCAACGGTCGTTCATTGCAACGTCCGCACTAACGAGTATGCGGGAGGCTGCGGGGGCTCATCGGTAGAATACCACTAGAACGGGAGACAACCCAAAGAGAGACCGACAGGGAGAAGCGTTATTACTCGGCAATGACGTCATCCCCTGGGCAACAGGAGACACGTAGGAAGCCTCTGGTATTAGAGCCACTCCAAGTGCTTGAGATAATGAAATGATAAAGAAAACATGTAGTTAAAAATCGTAAAACCATACCTCTCGCGCATGATTGAAAAACTTATCAGTAGCAACGAGTATTAAAGGAGCTAGCATGCAATTGCAGTTGCTGAACTGAAATGGTTTCATTGACACACCCAAAGGCGATAAGAATACGCGTGGAGAAAAATATAAAAACTGATTGGCTTTAACGAGCCATCGTAGTTATAACCTTAATAGGAAAATCCGTAATGTGACTGAACGCGTGTAGCAGTCACGTAAGGCTAGGTCTCCATCGTGGAATGGAAAATAAAAGTTGAGTGATTTTATTGCGATAAGCTGAGCCACTGAAAAAATGTCAATTCTTCAATTTTTTTTTTTTTCAATTCTCAGGGTATTTTATTATCATGGCTGTTTTCACGATTACTCTACATTTATTCCACGTTCACTGTTACAATACCGCGTGACATTCCAACATGCCCTCCCCATGAGATTCTCAAATAACGTCACTTCAACCATTCAGTTTGAACTCGTGGAGGAAAAAATAATTGAAATAATGAATAATTCGAATGATCGCACTTACTTCGACGGTAAACCTGTGGTGAATAATCACGAGGACTTGGACGAGGCACTTCTCAATATACAAAAATTCACTGATAACGCCGGTCCGAATGCACGCGTTCACCGTTGCCTCTCCGACTCATATCAGCCCAGATAACACCAATTACAACAATTATCCTCTTACCATTAACAAACAGTCACACAAATGAAAATAGTTCTTCACAAGTTCATGTGTCACAATTGTCAGACGATTGATCTCAATTCATCAGCTGTAACTGTCCAACGATACAGGCAACAGAACAACGCTCACTATCGTTCTTTCCTATCTCTTTCTTCCTGTATCTCTATTTTTTCTCTCTCTCACACACCAACAAAACAAAAACAAAAAAAAAACAACTCCCGAATATTCTAACCGGGCGCCTACACTCTGATAATTCAACGTAAGCGGCACCTCCGAGCGCGTTAAAGCCAGTTCTTTCCTCTTACTTAGATAAAAAAAAAATTGAGGTGGGGGAGACAGTGAATGAGGATTTATCTTTGAATTCAGTGAAGTTGAGACAGGTTGAGCGGGGGTGGGGGATTAAGGGGGACACACAGGCGTATTGGATACAGCTTAGCGGTATTAAGCCTCGTATGCGGTACAATTTGTTTCTTTTTGTTTTAATTTTAAATACGACAAAGGGTGAAAAGGTAAAAGAGGCGAGCGATGCGTTGGTTAGGCGACGGAATTGCGACTGCTCGGGCTGGAGACCAGTGCCTGGCGCGACAGCGACTGCCCGGCGACACTAGCGCCATATTTTCCCCTCACGCGCCACCATTTCTCACACTGACACGGCACTATCCCCTACCCAAACCTCAACTCCAGCAACTCCACCGCTTTTCCATCCCCACCACTTTTATCTGTGTGAAGTAGTTGTAATACTGCCTCCTCCACCCTTCACCACCTCCTGCCACCCATTGACCGGTTGTTGGGTCGCACTGTGCTGCCATCAACTCCACCACCAACTCCGCCACCGCGTCGCCTCCACTCCATGTTACCCCTCCGCTCGATAACTTATCCTCTCTGCGCATGCCTTTATATTTTACCTCCCCTCCCACCACCCACAAACCACCCACCACCTCAACCTCTATCTACATAACTAAATTTCTGACTCTCCTTTTCTCCTTCTGCCTTCAATTCCCCTACTTTAGCTGTTACTATCTTATCGGTGTAGGGAATATTCACTAAAATCGAGCTTCTTCAATCAACTTCATGCAGCCATCAGATGATCATTTCAACAAGTCAGCTGTTGTTTTAAAGGCCGACGTATTGTCTGTCAGATGGGAAAAATTGATTATACTTGATGAATCAGGTGAATTTTTGTTTTCATATTTTGAGGCAAAATGAGACTCTTTGGGATTTTGTTGTTTGCCCCGGGGTAAAAAACGTTTGGGGAATCTGATTTTTAAATATCCTCGTGCTCTCAGCGTACACACATACGGATCTCCTTTGGGTTTTCGGAGTTGGCGGTGGCGTGTGAGTGTGGCAAGTTGTGTTGGAGAACCGGCAACACGGTTTTGAGTTTGGTTGGTGTGTGGGTGGGTAGCCATCCGCGACTAGGAAAAGAGTGAGAGGAAGGGAAGTACACAGCGGAGTAATCTCGTTTCTGTGTCCATGGATGAGGGGGGAAAAAAGCAAAAATGTCGAATTGGGGATTGTTGAGGAGTTTTTTGGGTGAGGTACTGGTTAGGGCGGAGTTGTTTATGATTGCAGAGATGAGCTAGGATTTTGGGGTCATTGGTTTTTTATTATTCCGAGGATGGAGATGGGGGAAAGGGATTTGATGATTTTGAGATGTTTATGGGGCTCTCGAAATGAATATCGCGAGGAGGTTTCCCTCTTTCTCCAGCGACCTTAACCTTTTTCCCCCCCTCGTTGCCTCTCCTCTTTCGGAGCAGACAATGTCTCGCGAAGAGAAGGGAAATCCTTATGTGTGAATGACAGAACACGTGGACCCGGATGACTCACACGATCGTAAAGGGAGATGTTGGTGCGAGAGATTTATGCCGGGGGAGAAAGAAAGCAGAAGAATACGCGGAGAATGACGAGATTAACTGAAACATCGATTTTTATACACGCAACGGGATTAAAATAATTTTTTTTTTTCATGCTCATTGGGGCAGAATGGGTGATTTTTTTCGGAGAGATATTGCTCGGTGAATAGTGTAAACTCACTTTTCCCTGAGTTCAGCTGATGCTTGAATTTTATCAAAAATATTTTCCATTTGATTTTCATAGTTATTTTTTGTGAAGCAGTCGCGGAAGCGGATACACGTTTCTCTTCGATACGGTGGGGGCTACGATAAACCGGTGCCTCTCTATCTTCAGCACGAGAGACGAGAGCTGTCGATATTTTACCAAGGAATTTTTCATGCTTTGTACGTCGTCTTGAAAGCCTCGGAAAATGCCTTTCCCTTCTCCCTCCATCTCGTGTATATTTTTTTTCCACTCGAGAAGTGATTTCTCGTGTGATCCTCGCGGTAGAACGAAATCAAGTCATTAGGCAAGAGAAATATTCACCTTCTAACGTGACAAATTACACGTTGGGTATTTATAAGGGGCCGTCTCACGATTTCAATAGAAATATCGAGGTGTTGCACTTAATAGCCAGTAATGAAAGACGGACTAGAAATGTGGTACACGATTTCGCTCTCCTCTGCAAATTGTCGTGACTGCGAAGAGTTAAAAGTGCGCTTTATTTTAGTAGATATTCTTTCGAATCCTAAGATTTCATTTCTGTACATCCAAAAATAAAGAGGCCTCTGGCAGCTGCCACCGGACAAAATTGAGGGAAAAAAGCTATTCGAAATAGTAAGGAACATTGAAAAAAACACCGAGATAAAATAACAAACGAGTTTTCCATCAACCGCAGCTTCTCCCCGTTCTTTATTCTTAAAGCCAATGTTTCCCCAGAGTCGGGCAATTAGAAACGGCCGGTTTTCACCGCGGAAGCATAACTTGGTAACGCTTTTGGTTTCAAAGTAACGAAAATTGTTATATATTAATATACGGAGATGGTAAAAGGGAACCGCAGTTGGGGCGTCGACACGTAATGAATACCCTCCCCCTCTGTATACAAAGTAGCATAAAACGGAATATTACGATAGAAGGAGTCGCGTAATTTACCACGGTCTTGGGCATGCTTGGACTAACGTTAACTCTCCAGTCAGTAGAGATTACACTCAACAGTGAATATTCAAGACTGCTAATTCTAAATCTCTACATATTTCCTGAAATTAAATTTCCAACTTATAGGAACAATTTCAATTATAAAAATATCATCTCTCTCAACTCGAACTTTGAATAGAAAATTTTCAAACTGTCTAATTCAGCTAAACAATTGGACTGCGAGTGGTTCTGTGACATTGCCCTCACTTCGTAACCACGTGAATGTCGTCGTGAAGGATAAATAGAGACAGATCTATGGGGAAACCCACTCTTACTGCAGACCAACAATACTCACAATAAGATAACAAGACGGGGAGAAAGAAACCGAGGAGAACAGGAGAAAGATCCCCCCCGGTCCTCACTATCTCTCTCTCCCTTTCGGTGAATAAACTGCACGTTATGTACTCGTGGAACGTAATACCTCGCATCGTACACGATATTTCGCCCACCTTGACTGCGCCCACCCGTTTACCACGACTTTGTATACCCCCTTTTCTCCCTTTCCTCCCCTTTTTCCTCCCTTTACTTCCCACCACCCTCCTGCAACGTTCCTCTACACTCTATCGTCCTCAGTGCAGACTCTACGGTTAATCTCAGTTGCGATAAAAATTGACGCCGTGAGGTACTGTATACTTTCACGAATCGTTACAAACTTGTGTCATGAATTTTTATGCCGTGTCTCAACGTTGCTGTATATTTTTTTCTTCTTTTTTTCCTACTTTTTCGAGTGCAGGGATGCCATAAAAATAGGGGAAAAGAATTCTCTACGAAATTGATAGAAAATTGTGATCGAAAGTTATTTTATTTTCACTAGTCGTTTTGTTCCATTGGTTCGAGTGATACGTTGGGATATAAATTGGTGAATTTTATTTCTTCGTGGTTGTGATAAAAATATAAATTCATCTCCTTTAAATCCTGGAATTTAATTGGGTCTCGTACTGTTGGTATTAAAGAGACTAGAAAATAGCCAAAGATGCTTCCACTCGTATTTCATCTGGGTAAGTTTTGACTCGTTAAAACTTGCCCCCTTCAACGTCAGTAAATTTCTGTGTTGATCAAACCTTGGGGAGAGGAGGTAGTGCACTCGCTTGAGAATCTCTATTGACTGCCGGCTGAGAACGTACCTTATTTATGAATAGAGAAGACAGATTCACCTTTGAATACCCCAGGCTCTTCAATTTAATACCGCCCCGTTTGCCAGTATTTTTCCTCAACTAGGGAAAAATCGGTTTCATGATTTTTCTGAGGTGGCAGATTAAATACACCAAGTCATTGGATTTTTGATTGGTTAATGTGCATGCGATGTTGAGATGAACCTGTTTGTTCGCCAGGCTTTCACCCGAGATATTCATACATTCTATTTATCCAAAGCGAGAGGATGCATACAGATTTCTTAGAATATCAGACGAATTATTCTTCAATATTATTCTCTATTTTTACTTTCACCTGACACTCATACCTCCATCTTTCGCACTTACAGTTGTCTATTAATTTTCTTTCCACGTGAGACGCAACTATTTATGGGCTCTTTTTTTTTGCTTTAATACCATTTCTTGGATCTCGTTTCTTCTCGTTGAATCGTTATTATTTCCGGTGCACGCACAACACGCCAACCAATATTTACGATTACGAGTGTTTCACTGAGAGAAATGGAAGGGGGAGGACAAAATTGGCCCCGTGGGCGCTCCAAACCTGGGTATATGAAGTTGTTCTGTGACGATGTGGAAATGTAATTACTCCAGTGTCACCCATGAACTGTCCATGAAAATATCAACAAAAAACTGTTTTCTGTTTGCAACAAGGGGCTATCAAACTAAGCGAATAGGTTTTAGTTTTTATGACTTCTCGTTATTTCGTTGCGAAATGAATGGCATTAAAAATTTTGGAGCATAAAAACAATTGAAGAGACGGAAAGACATGCATAACTGTATATCTAAATGTTGGTTGGTTGGCATCACACGGCCATCATACATTTTCCCAAAGAATCGGCGGTTCTAATGCGATCAGTGGCAAATGCGTGGTAAGAATAAATTTTGGCCCAACGTGTGTTACAAGGCCGGTGCTCGTTCGCAAATACTCTTTTAACAGCATTACGATAGGTTTTTTTTTTTTGGTCTGGGGGCTAGTGGGGGGCACGAGAAAAAGTGGTTTTTTTCAAACGAAAACGTGACTGCGTCTGGGAATCGATCGATCGGCATACAGGCTCGACATGACTCACACGTGGAGAACCCCTCCCTCAATCGTCCATACGAATGACGCGAAATATGTACTGTGACTAATCAGAAAGTTTGCTCAGTCGAGTTTCAGGAGAATATCTCATACTCCCGGTATATCGTGAAAAATATCGAAAATATTTCAGGATAGAAAAATTTCTTTATTCCACCATCGATGAATATTTTTCGAGTAATTTGCCACAGAGCGGATATACTCTCTATTCCTCTGAGACTGAATTTGCCAAAAACACATCTCTATCTGCATTTTCAAAAAAAAAAAAAATGAAAGAAAGAAAAAAAACTAAACGAACTTGGGATGCGGAGTAGCGGTGAGAGAAAACTGGTGCGCACTCGACCAATCGTAAATCGGAAGTACGTTGTCGTTTACCGTTTCGTCCAGTCACGTTCCAACTACTTCGTGCTTCGCTTTTTCTCCTCTCTTTTCTCATCTTCGTTCCATATATACTTGTGTAT